AGACACAGACAGATGGGCGGGGCGGGGCGGGGCGGGCCGGGCTAGGGGTTCAGTTTTGCCTCACTATCACATCAGAGTCACATCGCGTCACGCCACATCACAGTCACATACATGAATGGGACACCCACCCACCCACATTCACTCCCTCTCTCTCCTTCCTTTCTCGCCTTGTCTCGTCGTCTGTCTCATCTGTCTCTGCCACTCTCTCTGTTCGTCCCGTCTCTTTGCTTACCTATCCATGCATTCCATGCCATGTATTCCATGCGTCTGAATTAATGCAGCGACCGATGATCAACCGACCGACCGATAGATCAAGTCAGAAGGGAGGGAACGAAGAAAGGCCTAGCTAGCGCGTGATAGGTAGGATCCTGACGTAGCGGGTCGTCCATGAGCCCCACACAGGACGACCACACACAGCGCGCGACACACCTAGTCGCTCTCCCTCAGCTTAGTCGGTGCTTCAAGGCCCGGATTTTGCGAGCCGCCGGCGTGTGAGGCAGAGAGGGACAGAGGGAGAGTTAGATATACAGGTAGCTAGCCCGGTTTGGTTAGTGGTGGGCGGTGGTTCTGTCTGGTGTGGTGGTTGGCGAATGAAGGAAGCGAGCGAGCCAGGGCTCTCACAAACGTGATGGAAGCCGCCGTTGCTGTCTCCCTCTCTCCCTCGTGGTGTGGGTCGCGGTGGGGGGGCTAAGGCGCGGGCGACGAGCCAATACTACTACTTCCTATGCTACACCCTGCGAGCGTGCATGCCCTGCCTGCCTGCATGCCTTGTTGCGATTGTGTGTTGTTGATCGGTTGCTTGCATGTGTGTGTCAGTCTGCCCGTATCGTATCTATGTGTGTATTGTGGGAATCGTCCGCTCACCCACCCACCATCCCACCCACCTACTCGTGTGTGCAGGAAGGAAGCCGGTGGCCGGAGGGGCGGATGAAGGACTGACTGGGTGGGTGGCTGCCTGGTCGAGCAGCCAGCCACACGCGCGCCTCATGTGCAAACGTGACGGCGTATATTTGTGTGTAGTGTGTGTGTGAGAGTGTGTGTGTGTATGTGAGTGTGTGTCTTATGTATTGGATTGGTGGGTGGGTGGATGGGGCGTTGTGATTCGGTGTGCAGAGCTCTCTGTCCGTCTGGCTGTCCGTCTGGCTGTCTGTGTGTGCGGGCATATTTCTGTATGTGTGAAGCACAGCATTATCATTATCATTACTTCGTCGTCAATATCCTGTAGAATAGCAGCATTGCACAGCCAGCCAGACAGCCAGCCAGACAGGCAGACCCCAAGACGGCAACAAGAGAAAGGCCTCGTGCAGAGCAGACGGCCGGGCGCTTTAGTGACTGACTCACTGACTGACTGACTCACTGAATGGCTTGGTCATTCTTCGTTGCCTCTCTCTCTCTCTCTCTCTCTCTCTTTCCGTGTGTTATGCGTGTCTGTGTGTGCATAGAAAGAAAGAAAGATTGGAAAGGGGTTTTAGCAGATGGGCGCTCTTTTTCGTCCCTACAGCCAGCCAGCATCCACCCATCTTCCCATGCGTAGAGAGAAGATCAGGTCTACCATATCAGACCACATCACATCAGAG